CTGAATGTCGATTAAATAGTTATACTTATTAAATACATATATGAATATTAAACCTAACTTAGTTGCTTAGTGAGTATTTGAGTCTTTTCTATACATTCGTAACAGTCAAACAATCATACTAGTAAACTATAATAGGTATAGTTTAGAGGATTACTACTTACTATTTCTAGAACAATGAAACTTACATGAGTCAGTTCAAACATACTACAACAAGAACAGAAAGGAACATACATACTATAACAAGAACAAGATAACAATAGTGTGAAACCACTATTTCATGGCGTAACAATATACATGATGTGTCACGTTTTGTAACCAGAGTCTCCTGGAGGGAGAGCGTACGTTTGTGTATAGATCTATACGGAATTGACCATCCTACACCTTGCTGCTATCTACAGTGGGACCTGCAGGTCTACGAGTGACAAATACCATACCATTTCGATGTCTTTGGACAGTCGTGTTTTATACTAGTCAATCATCACATTTTACCTTAATATAACTAAATGGTTTTAAGGTAGTTAGTACTTCAGTAGTTACTTTATACAACACTACTGTGCACTTTCTTTTATTTTCCGTTACATTCATACAGTGATTTGCTCACATAAGAAATGCATACTATTTTTCGTGTAAAGATAGTTTTACAAATATTAAAAACTGACATTTATACTATTACAAGTACAAACATACATCTTACATCATTCTTTAAAGAGAAGCAAACATACAAAACAGTTGAGTCTTGGTAGAAGACTACTTTCAGTAGAAAATATAGGATTTTCTAGGAAGTATACAAACATTTACATCAAAACACTTACAAACATTTTCATGAAACAGATACTAACTTTTGACACTAATATATATGTATGAACTCACCAGCTTAAATGTTGATCTACTCTTTCCAAATAACTTGTATTCTCAGGTCATCAGTAGACAGGTACAGGACCAGATATTGAGAAGACAATGCTTATTCAAGACTTGTCTTTTATTTTGATTATATATATTCTTGGTGTCTTACAAACTATACACAGAACACATGTATAAACTATACTATTAATGCAATGGATGATGTTGTTGCTTGTTTAACTATTATGCATTGTAAACAGAGATAGGAAGCAAAATGTTGGAAGCTTTGAGGGAAATGATACAATATCAGGGACAAAGGTCAAGTCTTCTGGAAGCACCAACAAATTTGTTTAATGACAACAAACATGGAATGCCAAAAATGGCTTGATATTTGAGCTAACACTGAAATCATCATTGTTAAAGACGATGAACAGTACCCTTTCATCGTTGACCATCGAATGAGAGTATCAAAGCCCCGACTTTCGTCTTCAAACAATTTGAAGAACGCTTACCACGAAGATGACCTTCGATTTTTATCATTGTGACAGATCGGGATTAGCAGAAAACGTTTGGAAGAAAAGCAGTGACGACAGTTGTCCAGCTAGGGTTGTCGGATTGAAGGAGGAGAAGAGGGAAGAGTGAGATTGAGGGAAACGAAGCTGGGGAAAGAGAATGGGAATGGAAGGGGTTGGTGGGTGTGTATGGATTTTTGTTTTATTTTCTCTTTAAAAAAAAAAGATTAGAGAATAGTAAACAATTTATATGTATACTAATTTTAGGTTTCCTTAGGAAGTGTAATCTTTTTGGGTTTAGGTTTTTGCCACAAATGTTTGCTAAATTCGACACTTTTCGTCCTCGAAGTAAAAACTTTTACATTTTTAAGTTTTGATTAATTTTTTGTATCTTTAGGTTTTTGCCACAAATCTTTAGTGATTTTGACACTTTTCGTCCTTACAGTCTAAACTTTTATATTTTGATGTTTTTGCCATAAATTTTTAGTTACTTTGACACTTTTCAACCTTGAAGTCAAAACTTTTGCATTTTGACATAAAAACACAAAAAACAACTCCTTTAGACCTTTGTCACCATATTTTTCTAATTTTGGCAACTTTCACACTAAAACCACAATATTTTTTGTCTTTCTCAGTCAATGTTCCTTATTTTGGTTGTACACTTTTGACATCTAATTTTAGGAGTTGTTGGCATTCTCCATTATTTGTGGCGATTTACACTTTCAACACATCTTTTAAAGTTTGCCGATTTTCAACTTCTATGACATAGTCCAAAAGCGGTGGAGTCTCGTGTCCTTTTCTAATTAATATAAACTTGAAAAAGAAATTGTTGATTGCAAAATAGACATTTTATGTTAACAGGACGATCGAGTGAAAAAAAAATTATATAAGAATGATTCAAGTTAATTTTTAAAACTAAAGAATGAACGTGCATTTTAACGCATTAAGAGCCTTTTAAAAGATTAAGAGGCAGATAAGAGACTATCAAACAAGTTATATATGAATTTTTAAGAGGATACCTCTTAATTTTTCAATTAAGAGGTAAACAAACAGGGCCTTAGATATATGTTGTTTTTGGAACGAAAACTATTGTTTTAATTCAACGAACTTATTATGTTCGTTTTAAAAGATCATTTAATTAGTTTTTTTTTAAGTAAGTCAGAAAAGAAATAAGGGACACTTCTTCCTTTTTTTTTTACCCATGAATCTGCTCCTTCTACTCTTTCTCACGATTTCCCTCCCTCCCCTCTCCAACAAAACGCCGACATCGTCTTCTTGCTCCTTTGCCCTAATGTGCTTCCATTCTATTCCGGTGAGACCCTCGGTGAAACATCTTGTGTGAGACCCACCTGCGACATCCACCCTCCGCCATCACCAGTGACGGCTCTTTAGACCTTCTCCCTTCAACTGCTGGTCGGACCTGCAACCCTCAGCCATCGTCGGTGCCTTTGCCTCCACCAGTCCCGCCGCCAACGACACCCTCTACCTCCGTGAAATCTCATCGAGATTTCCCTTAAAAATCATGAAAAGTTGGTTCTTGCCCTGAATTGGGTTCCAACAGCTCCTTCTAAATCGGTTTCACATACGACTCATTCCATTTTACATCGTAATAATCTCTCAAATTTTGATCTCTATCATTGTCTGTTTGATCATGTCATGAAATTGGCTCTCATATTTGTTTATTATAATTGTTGTTGTGATCATTATTGGTGGTGTGATTTATGAAATTTGAAATTTTATGATGCACACGAAACATGAACCGACTACTTTGTACTTATCTTAATTACAATTTGTATGACCAAGCAGAGAAGTTGAGATCAAAGGCACCACCACGTTTTGAAACTCATTCAAATTAGCAGTTGTTGGGGTTAAGTTTTTACTGTTTATTGAATCATTAGTTCATTAGATTTGAAGCTCAATTACAATTTTTATGTTTCCATGATTGAAAGAATATGATATTTATGTTTCTATGGATTCAAAGAAGTGATTTTGGAAGAATTTTGGTTTAAATTGTTTCCATGGATTGAAAGAAGTGAATTTGAAAGAGTTGATGTTTAATTTAGTTGTATGATGTATATGTTTGTATGGGTTGAAAGAAGTGAATTTGAAAGAAATTATGTTTAATTTGGTTATTTATGATCATTTGTAATTTTTATCACTTATGCATTTATATTTTAGCATAACACAATACTATAGAAAGGTAAAATTGTCATTTTTATCATTCATATTACAATTCAGAGGATCCAACCAATCAGGATGTTAAAAATTCAGATCATTTTAAAAATTCAGTCCTCTTAAAAATTTAGATATTAAAAGTTAAGATGCTACCATATAGCCTCTAAGTAATGACAAACATGAAAAAATGACGACCATGAATAGTGATTAAGATGCATCATGAAGAAACTTCACCGTTCGCATCGTAGTCTTACAAAACTTCATCACATCATCTATTACCACATACAGCACTTATATAAAGGTTTAAGCACTCGAATATTTAATTGGACCATATGTCTAAAATTTTCCACAAAATATATACCGTAATATGATTCTTATAAACCAAAGTTTGAGTGAAATATAATTAAATTACAAACTTATAAACCTATAATCCTTGCAATTAGAATTTTATTAAATCTCCTGATTTTTTGGATGTAATATTAAGATCAACCCGCATTGTCATAGTCACTTTGTAAACTTTTTGGTAATTTAACTCACCTCTTAATCAATCAACATTTAGCACGTTCAAGCATATTTCGTTCAACCGTGTTGAAGGATCTACAAACAAATCAAAACCCTTAGAAATGTATGGAATAACTCCTACTTTTATCGTTTGTTTTTGTTTTTCCAAACAATATAACACTAAACATTTCATCAAGTATATTCAACTTAATTAATTAACAGCGTAATTTTGTTTTAATCTAAACTATGCAACATGTTATCATAAAACAAATAAATAAATAACGTTATTTCACAAATTTAATAAAGTGAAGTAGTGCTCAATAATCCAAAACAAAAAATATTCCATGTTGTGAAGATATAAAGGCAATTTGCACATGGGCTTCTATCATGTCCAGCTGTACTCCGCACACATACCTGACACAACACCACCAGAAAACCCAAAACCAGACCGACCACTATCCCTATTTTTAGTGCAAAACGACACCTTTCCACCTCTAAACTCACCTTGCCATTATATTCCACGTCATCAACTACAAAAGTAACCATAAGAAACGCATTATATTTATCAAGTTAGTCACTAGGATAAAAATGTTATCAATGCATTAAACCCTAAATTCCAAATTTATTTGTTGGATATTTTACAAAATTTAGATGTCTATTGTACAATGCAACATAATTTAACAATTTTCCGCACATTTGGAGGTGCTTTTTTCTTGTTTTAATTCAAGTATTCAACTAATAGAAAATGTAACGAAAATAATTGAAAAGAGAATAATCATAACGAAAGAATTTATTAATATAACAATAATAACATGATCAGTAAAATCATCAAAGCCTATGCACTCGTAGTAAAATAGACATGGAATAATAACCTACAACCGACTAATAATAAGAATTAAAAATAATGAACAAAAGTAAAAGTATCACAAGAATAATAAACTCCAAGAAAAATCTCTCCACAAAATCAGATCTCTACATAACCAAAGCAGCAGCTAAGGCAACCACGGCAACAGATCCGGCGGCGAGTCTGTTCAAGCTAGCGGAGTTCGGCGGTGAAGTAGGAGAAGCGGTCGGAACGGGTGAGCCGGAAGGAGACGATACCGGAGCGCCGCCGGGAGACAGACGAGTAGGAGGAGCTGGTGGAGATGCTAGAGGCGATTCAGTCGGTGATGAAGTCGGAGAGCTCGTAGGAGGAGCGGTAACTGGCGACGGAGGCGACGCGGTCGGAGATGCCGTCGGTGATACCATCGGCGATCCAGTGGGTGACTGAGCCAACGCAGATCCAGCAATCAAAGCAAACAAGACCACCATAACATAAGTAGAAGACGCCATTGTTATGAATTTTAAGCGAATACGGATTGAATGTAATGTGAGAGTGTAGATAGAGATAAAGTTTGAGAGATGGAGAGAAATTTGGAAACGATGAAAGTGGAAGAGAATACGGAGGAGGAGGGTTTATATACAGGGTGTAAGTCGGTTTTTGGAGAGATGAAATCACGACCGTTTGTTTGATTGTCGTATGATTCCGCGTGAAGAGATCCAGCGTGACACCGAGTTAGATGCTTACACGAAAGAAAGAATCTGGGCCCTACAAAGTACAAATCATCTGTATGCAGAACCGTTGGATTAGGGGACTGAGTATGCGTAAAGTCGTTTGATTTAGTAAAACATAAAATTTCCAGGTTACCGTTATAATGAGGGCACGTTGTATGCCTAATTATTTAAAGTATGTTGGTGGCATCCAACGGGAAAGACAGAGATATAGGCTAAAAAGTTATTTATTAGTTAATTAATTAAATGTGTTATTAATTTAAGAAATATTAATTAAAGTAACTTTAGTGATTATTTTATTTAGTTTTTAAAAAATAGTTATTTTTTTAGTTTCTCAACAATAGTTGGTTTCGAATGTTCTATTCCACTTATTATGAAGTTTTTTGGTTTTTTCTTGGTTTGTAAATTTCTTTTTTAAAAAGAAAAACATGTCAAAAAATTGTAATAGATTATTATCTGTTTTCATTGTCTCAAGTTGTATCTATCTGTAACAGAGCTTCGATATGTTGGAATCAAGAAAAGATGGGTAGTTGGTGATCGTATATGATACGAGGCTGTTATGTATGTGTATTTTGGCTCAGCAATCGGGTAGGTGTTCAGTGTTGTGGATAGTTGGCAAACAAGCTGGGATCAGTGAGGTCCCGATTGTTCTTGAGGAAAGCAGTTATGTGGCAGCAAAATGAGTTAGAGCAGTTTCAGTGATTTGGGGTCCGGGTGTAGAGTTGTTTGTCATTCGGGGTATATACTAAGTTGTTTCACAGTTGGACTAAATAATATCATAAGTTGAATAGCCAGTTGGGAGATATGTACAGTGAACTCGACAATGATTCGATATGGGTGGACTGTCAGGAAGACAGACCATTTCGAAACTATAGATTTCAGACAGAGTAGAAGTGATCATGATGCAAAGATTCGTTCATTGAGGTATATCTCGAAATTATTCTGTTTTGTGCTTAAAACCTCCATTAGAACACCTCTAAGGCTAGTTTAATGTATTTTCCAAGCTTTATAGTTGTATGGATGCCTTGTTGATGTTGAGATATCCCTAGATCTATTCATTTAGGAGTTTTAGAGCCCTGATCTATTTCCTTTTTCGAGTTGCCTTGCATGAGAACCCTAGATCTAGCCTTTATTATGCCTTTTGAGCCTTTTAATCTTCATGGATGCTTATGGGCACGTAAAGATAGAATCTTTACGTGTTAATCCAGCATAAGAAGCCCATATCTACAAGTTATATGCGCTGGATTCAAGCAGAATCGAGTTTTTAGGAACTGCATGCATGCGACTCGGCGAGTCGTTCTTCGGACTCGGTGAGTCGAGCCGCGAGTCCCCGATTTTTCCCCTTTTGAGTGATTCCGAGTGGGGACCAGTGAGTAGTAGAATGGACTCAGTGAGCCGGAGGTCAGACTCAGTAATGGAGGGACTGGACGAGTTGTTCATACAACTCGGCGAGTCTAAGGCAATCTTCATAGATTCAAGAACAACTCGTCGAGTTGTTCATACAACTCGGCGAGTCGGATGCAGATAGCCTGAGTTCTAGAATCGAAAGGGAAGTCGTCGAGTTGATGCCATACTCGACGAGTAGCAGCGAACAGGGTCGAGAAGTGAGAGTAGGGACTCGGCGAGTTGGCGGCCCAACTCGGCGAGTCAGGTCAACTGTAAGTTGACTTTGACCGGGAGAGTTGACTTTAGCCAGGGGTAAAAGAGTCATTTTACCCCAATGCAGTTATTAGTATTTGATTGAGTGTGTTTGAGGAATTGTAGCCGGGGAGATACCGGAGCAGCAGCAGATAGCTTCCAGAGCCATACACTCAGCAGCCAGTTCACGAGGTGAGTTTCCTTCCAGTAGGAATGGGTCTAAGGCCACAATGCCGACCCGTTTAGCTAGCAGTAGTTTCCGGACCTCGGTCCGATGCAGTAGTTAGTATGTTTGACGCCTTCGAGGCTCAAACAGGTTTGTGTGTTATGTGTTCCGGGTTATGGCCCGAAGCAGTATGCAGTATGTGTTGTTGTGTTAGTTGATATGTTTATGCTATGCTATGTTCAGTAGTTCTGGACTTATGTCCGATGCAGTCAGTTCCGGACTTCGGTCCGATGCAGTTAGTTCCGGATTTCGGTCTGATGCAGGAGGCAAGGCCTCAGTAGTTCCGGACTTCGATCCGATGCAGAGGGCAAGGCCCTGGTTAGTTTCGAACTTCGGTCCGATGCAGTTTCCGGACTTCGGTCCGATGCAGTGGGCAAGGCCCTGTAGTTGTTCTATGTTTGTATGGTATGTGGTAATTTAGGGGAGCTCACTAAGCTTCGTGCTTACAGTTTCATTTTTGGTTTCAGGTACTTCCGCAAGTAAAGGGAAGAGCTCGGGATGATGGCATCGCACACACCACAACTTCAGTTTTTGTCCTGGGAGATTGTTTTGATACTTAGTTTGATTTGATACAGCTGTATCACGACATTTTATTATGGTTTGAGATATTTGACGTATGGATTTATGATATGACGTTCAACATATGATAAAAAAAATTGAGTTGTATTTTGGGATGTTACAACTGGACACCACAACGGTGGCTGTGTGTGTGTATTTTATTATGTGTCTATTTTGGGTAATTTTGTTGTATGTATGTTGTTATTTTGGCCGAAAAGACTCGTCTCCACCACCGTGAGGTGGTAGCTGCCACCTCATATCTCCATTTTGCCGCCACTTTGGGTGGTTGTACACATTTGTGTGTGATTGGAGTGTTTGGGATGTTTTGACGTGTTTTGGGCCTATAATCATAACCAGAACTGCCCGAGGTGGTAGTAGGTGGTACCCGACTTGATTAGGCTTTAACTAATGTAGAAACTTAACTATTGGATTAATTGGTTTTTTATTTGGTTGGAAACCCTAATTAGGGTTTAGAAAACCCTAATTTTGGGAATGTGTATTTTGGATTTGTCAGGACTTGCATTTGGACTGTTAGACTGGAATTTTGATTTATGTCCAACTATATTATATAAATGGGCTAATGGAGTGATGGACTTAATGGATTAAGTCCTTAATGGGTTAAGTAAGAACACTTAACTCTAATCGTCATTTTATGTGAAAACCCTAATTTTGTTTGGGCCTTAAGTTGGGCCTTTCTGTTGGGCTTTGGTGATTAGGCTATTGATGGGCTATCCAAGAACAAGTTTGTGGACTAAGGAAATTATTTGGCTTTAGGATAAGTCTCATTTGAAAGGCTTGGGTCCAATTTGGAAAATTGGGCCATAGATGGGTCATAATTAGGATTTGATGATTATAAGATATTAGACCATCGTAATGCCAAATGTTTGGACTAGAATAAATGATTGGGCCTTAAATAAGTCCATGTAGTGGTTTGGGACCAATTTGGAAAGTTGGGTGTAATGTGTCACACCCCAAAACCGGAACGGCAGAAACGTTCTGGGGCGGAGGACGTCATGTAATGTATCACAACAATGCAAAGTAGTAAACAAGCAACAACATCATCCATTTCATTAATAGTAATAATTTAATACATGCGTGTTCTTTCATAGTAATAAGATGTTACAACAAGTAATCAAAATAAAAGACGAGTCTTGACTGCTCCGTCTTCGCAAAACCTGGTCATTGTACATGTCTACTGGTGACCTGAGAATACAAGTTATTTTGAAAGTGTAGGTCAGCATTTAAGTTGGTGAGTTCATAAGTATCTAATGTCATCGTTTGTATAAGTATAAAGAAAATGTTTGAAATTGTTCAATGTAATTATTCGTATAAGTATGAAGAAAATGTTTTAAATTGTTCAGTGTAATTATTCGTATAAGTATGAAGAAAACGTTTGGAATTAATCAATGTAATTGTTCGTATAAGTATGAAGACAACGTTTGAAATTGTTCAATGTAATTATTTGTATAAGTATGAAGACAACGTTTGAAATTGTTCTACATTTGTATAAAACTGAATAAAATGGTTTGTACATGTTTGAAATTTTCTAGAAAATCCAATATTTTCTACTAGTATAAAAGTAGTCTTCTACCAAGACTCGACTATTTTATATGTTTATCTTTAGAAATCCAATATCTGTTCATAAGTGTGTGTAGTTTAAAAGTTCTAAAACTATAACAAAATGATGTTTTTCATGCCTAAATAATATATTTGTGTAAATATAAAATCACTAATGTCACACCCCCAAAGCGGAACGGCGGAAACATTCGGGGGCGGATGACTTCATGTGGTAACGTAACAAATGAATACATAGTAAAGAAAGCAATACAACCATCATATATATAATTGAAAGTTTACATTGTTTAAAAGATTACATGTTCAAAACCAATTACAATATGATGTCAAAATATGAATTTAAACTAGTGTCACAGCATTCCTTCTTCAAAAGCGGTTTAGTACCAGTAATTACTGAATCCTTGGGACATACAAGTAGTTTTGAAAGAGTAGATCAGCATTTAAGCTGGTGAGTTTCATAAGTATTAAATGACAATGTTTGTATGAAATGAAATGGTTTTGTTCTTGTTTGTTTGTTCCTAGAAAATCCTATATTTTCTACTAGTATAAATGTAGCCTTCTTTCAAGACCAATGTTTGTTTCTAGAAAATGTATGTACGTATAAAATTTCCAATACGTCTGAAAAATCCCGTAAATCATTGTGTTTTTAATACTCTATGTGAGTTTTATAACCATGCTATTGCCAAGGAATGCCTATACACAATGTTCTTTAGGTGTTGGAATGTTCTGACGTTTGTCACCCCAAATGGTGGACTGTAGCTAACACTCAGGGTGCGGGTTGTCA